TATATATATATATATATATATATGCTTTCCAATATATGATGTCTACTGGAAATGTATGTAATTTCAATAGAACTTACAGTAGATCTTACATTCAAACAGTTCAAAAGCAATTGAAAAAATAGGAATCACTGTATTAAAACTTTCATTATTAAGATTAACAAACTTTGATATATAGTTCAACAGATCTTTGGGTATTCGAAGTACAGTCAAATAGTCATTAAACTCTACAATTCACATATGTGACGCTGGAACACAAAACCAGTCATAAGGGTCAATTTTTCGAAATTGAGATTTATACATCGTCTGAAAAAGCTGAATAAATAAGTTTTCCATTGATGTGTGGTTTGTTAGGATAATATTTGGCTGAGATACAACTATTTAAAAATCTGGAATCTGAGGGTGCAAAAAAAATCAAAATATATTTGGCTGAGATACAACTATTTAAAAATCTGGAATCTGAGGGTGCAAAAAAAATCAAAATATTGAGAAAATCGCCTTTAAAGTTGTCCAGATGAAGTTCTTAGCTAAGCATATTACTAATCAAAAATTAAGTTTTAATTTATTTACCGTAGGAAATTTACAAAATATCTTCATGGAACATTATCTTTACTTAATATCCTAATGATTTTTGGCATAAAAGAAAAATCAATAATTTTGAACCATACAATGTATTTTTGACTATTGCTACAAATATACCCCAGCGACTTAAGACTGGTTTTGTGGTCCAGGGTCACATATTTGCCTGTATGTATATAAATATATATTGGTATTTTAATCAACTACTGATCAGTAGGCATAATATGTTTGTTAATGACTTGATAATGAAAGTTATTAAATCTGCTCATGAGTAAAATGTTGCTTGGAATTAATGCGGATATGTTGTGGGTTAACTTATCTCTGTCGCATGAAAACATTTGTGATATCAGTTAAATGTCACAGCTGATGTGTAAAACAGGCCTATCAGACACTATATGATGGTAAATGTTATGCAGTTACATGGATTTGTAGGTTGTCAGTGGCTGTATAAAGCAAAATGATTAGATATTAGATTAGATATATTGTTTTGAGTTCATATGGTGTGTGATTGTAATGTGAAATGGTAATATGTTTTATTCAGATCGGCTCTCTGGGACAAAATATTGACTTTTTTTCAAGTGGATGTGCTTTTAAATTAAACATATTGACCCTCCCTTTCACCTTTCACATTTCAACCATCTCATTTCTCTGTATTGGCAATATGCTGTAGAAAAACTAGTGCGTATTGTGTGGCACATTTTGTAGTTTGGTTTTTAAAGGACATTAATTTCGTCTTTCCACTGGGAGTGAAGGAGAAAGTTGTTTTTGCTCCTAATTAAAGCCAGATTTTTTTTTTTCATATCTTTCCGTTTAAACAACCAGATACTTTTTAAAGTAGAATGACATAAAAGTACCATGCAGAAGACCTTTATAAATCTCATTTCAAATGAATGTAAAACTAAAGGAACAAAAGGGCAAGGAAAGTGTTCCATGTGAAAATCATCTCTTTAAGTCATTAGTTTCTCCGCAGTGTTTTAGGGGACAGGAGGTTTATGACTGTCAGTCAAATCCACCATTTGGAGAAATGTCATTTTTTCTAATCAAAAATTTAGAGGAAAGGAGATGTTGAAAGTCGTTTAAAGGATCTGAAACTCCACAAACAGAGTGTTGAGTTGAATGAATATGACAAGGACATAAGAAGGAGAAAGAACAAAGAAATGATGAGCAGAGAGCTGACAGCAGGAGGGATTTAAAAAAAAATAACTGTTTTTTTTTTTTAATTGACTCATTAGATTTATTTTTATGTCCTTTTGTATTGACCTTTAAGAAGTTTATGAGCTTTTGAGTTTTTTTTTTTTTTTGTTCAAACTGTATGTCCATACTAGTATGGGAGCTTCTCTTCGGTTGCTGGAATATTAAAATTTCAGCAGGAACACAGAAGGTCTTTTGCAAACCAGAAAGTACTTGCCTATATTTAAAAGGGACCAGAGTCTTCTATGTGATGTGTTTGTTGATATTGGTGTTTGGTTTGTGTTTTTAAATTTGTGGTGGAGATAGATAGGACAGCATAGGAATAGATGTTTGGAAGGGAATGAATTCTAATAGAAACAGAATTCAACTTAATTTAGTAAATGAAGCATCGAATCTCTTGAGATCATTTGTCTTTGCTGTAGTAATAGTGGGTTAATGCATAATAATAAAAAAAATGTAATACACTGCCATTTAAAATGTTTCAAAAAGTAGGGATGTTAAGATGTATTTGTTTATTTACAAATTAATTATTTTAATCAGTATGGAAGGACACATTAATCAAAAGTGACCGTAAAAACAGTTTGACCTTTGACCTTTTATATTTATCAAGGAATCTTTAAAAAAATGTATCCTGGTTTCCACAAAAATATTAAGCATCACAACTGTTTTCAACATTAATAGTAATAAGAATTATCACTAGCATGTTAGAATGAGTAATTGCTGCTGAAAATTCAGCATTTCCATAACAGGAATACATTTATGTTTAAAAATGTAATATAATATAATATAATAATTGATTTATATTGTATTTCAGAAGCATTGCACTCTAATATTGGTGTTAACACATAATATGTATAAAAATATATATCCAGCTAAATACTTGCACATACTGTAGATACTGCTTTTGATATTAACAGGCACAACCCCTGTTGATAAAACCAGCATATGCTGGTTAGGTATGTTTTGAAGCTGGTTTAAGCTGGTCATGTGCTGGTCCTAAGCTGGTCCTAAACAACTAGCTCCTGCTCAGGACCAGCTTAAACCAGCTACCATGCTTCAAAACATACCTAACCAACATATGCTGTTTTTTTCAACAGGGACATGCTCACTTGCAAGCATATATAAACATTAATATTAATATTTTGAGGCATGTCCCCACAGTGTTCCGATGGAACCTACTCGACTGCATAAGAGACAGGTGGCGTCATAAAGTCAGGATGTTAGAGCACCGAACCTTGAAGTTGAGCCTCTCATATAACTTGAACGCACACCTTTCATAGTGTCACTGTGAGTAAGCACAACCGAATCGATGTAACCATGGAAATAAAGGCTAGCATGTCACGTTATTTGACTTTTTTAGCATCTCATGCTGTCTTCTGTGAGTATAAGTGTGTGACTCATCTCTCGACATGTTGTCTGTGGTGAAGTGAGGCTGAGCAGGAAGAGAGAGTAGGCATCCATCTGGACCAGAGGATGGAAACCAGACGATGACATCTGGAGAGAGACAGACAGAGAGAGAGAGTAGCATCTCATTAATATTTGTAGGTGTTCATACGTAAATTGTGGTTTTAGCAGGCGTATATTTAAATAGTTTAAATAGAAAACTATTAGTAGTTTAAATAGACACCAGAGAGTATATGAGCAGAATATGACAGAATCTAGCCATAGTATGTATGAACTTTTAGAGGTGTTCAATAGTTTATCCTTAGAAGTTTGAGGAATTTTGAATTCATGCAGTTTAAGGGTTGATTTCACTGTATTTATAAGAAATTGATTTAAATAAGTTTAACACAGTTAATGGGTTTGCCTAATTTGGTATTATAACATTTTATTCTGTTCTGTGTAATTCTATATTTGATACACCTTTAGCTTTGGTTATAATTAACTCATATAAAGAGTGCAAATTAATTACTTAATTTTTTTGTTAGTCCCATTTGGATTTAATTTATAAACTTGCCATTTAAAATGTTTCTCAAAAGTTTCTCCATCATTTACTGATACATGAAACACTGAATGGCACTCTCTGGTATTGTCTGAGTATTTCCTGTAACTTGGTTACCAATGATGAGACCCTTGCAAATCTTCCAAAAATTCCAACAGTACCGTCATTCAGATCCAAAAGTACCAAATTCACATCAGGCAAATTGGGAAGTTTGAAATAAAATAAATCAAAAGTAGGGCTGCACAATTAATCAAATGCAATATGAGCTGGTGTCTTTGAATATACAAATATATGAATATACACAGAAACTCAAAGGTCCTCACGACAACCCGTTAAAATAAACAATTGGTATAACTTGAAGAAATTGTGACAAATATATTACTGTTGTAGAAGAATGTATTTCTTAGTGATAATAATAATAATATTATGTGATAATATTATTAGTACTAAAATTATGAAATCTTTATTTATAAGGAATTTATAAGAATATTTAACAGTAAACCTTTGTTGTGCAGCACTATGTTTGCCAAAAATAAAAATAAAAAATTGTTAATTTTTATTTGATTACCTTTTAAAAAAGTATTATTTTTGTTTGTTTGTTTTATACCTTTATCACCACCATTTCTGACAATAAAATTGTATGAAATCATAAATCCACAACAATTTAACAATGAAATTACAGAATTTCTGAATGAATGAATAAGGGACATATTATTGTAAAAAAAAATAATCAATAAATTATTTATTCAATTAAAATTATTTTATTAAATAAAGTTTTATGAGTTCTATTGATTAGATATGCTTTTTGATTACTAAATCTAATTTAACCAACAGATGGAATCCAAAAAATAGAAATGAGATCACTTGAGAGAGAATTTACTAGAAAAGGGACAATGCTGAGTCAGCAGGCCAGACAGGCTCAGCTTATTCTGAGAAAGAGAAGGTGCCTAACTGTAGTTTTTGTTTTGAGCAGCAGGTTGATCTGGATTTGAGTGGTCTGTGGGCGGCTAAATCATTAATATGAGATTCTTGTCTATGATGCGTGCACCCACTTGAACAAACATTTAGAAGTATTTGACAGTCTGTGTCTCTTACCTCTTGTTCTTTCTGTTTACATTGTTTGTTAGTGCTTGCATGCCAGATGTTGATTATGCACGGTTTAAAACTAAATTCATCAGACACTTGTCTCTGGTGTCATATGCATTTTTAATTGTCTGACAGAATCTCTGTTCCTGCCTCTCT